GCTTTTTAGACTTGCTGCGTTTTTTTGGACTTGCTGCGCTTCTTGAACTTGCTGCGCTTCTTGGACTTGCTGCGCTCCTTGGACTTGCTGCGCTCCTTGGACTTGCTGCGCTTCTTAGACTTGCTGCGCTTCTTGGACTTGCTGCGCTCCTTGGACTTGCTGCGCTTCTTGGACTTGCTGCGCTCCTTGGACTTGCTGCGCTTCTTAGACTTGCTGCGCTCCTTGGACTTGCTTCTTTTCTGGGAAGCGGACCGTTCTTAGACTTGCTTCTTTACTGGAAAGCGGACCGTTGCTAAGGCTCAACTCTTTACTAGAAAGCCGACCGTTTTCTAGACTTGCTGCTTTATTCGGTTCCTCACTGGACCTGCTCACCTACAAGGAGACTTGCTGAAAATTAAGCTTTCTGACAATATATATAAAGCTTCTTTCGAAATCATTTTTTTTTTTTTTTTTTTTTATTTCCAATTTCATTTCATATAAATACACAACGCGCGAACCGGATAGAACGCCACAATTGTGACGTCACGTCAAAACAATAAATAATACAAAATGGCGGACATTTGTGTTTCTTTTCATAAATAAAATGGCTATTTTGACAACAGCCCTCTTCAAAAGGAAATATTAAATATTTCCATCAAATGTCAAAATAACATTCTTTTTTATTCATCTGTTTCTTGATACTGTCTGCCTAGGTAGTCTGCAAAGATATTGTCGGATCCTTTGATGGCTTCATTACGGAACTGGTATGATTGAAGAAATAATGCCCATCTCACTAATCGACCGTTGCCTGGTGTACTTTTCTGGATGTACGACAATGAACTGTGGTCCGTTTGTATGATGAACTCTTTCCCATACAAGTATTTTTGGAACTTCTTTATTCCATATACGATTGCTAGACACTCTCTTTCTCCTACAGAATAGTTCCCTTCACGATCAAGTAGCTTCTTGCTTGCAAAGGCAATAGGAAACAACTCTCCCTCATATCTCTGAAGCAATGCGGAACCTATCCCAGCATTCGAGGCATCACACTGTAAAATGAATTCTTTCGAAAAATCAGGCGGTCGAAGAATTGGTCTCTTGGTTAGTTGCTCCTTTAAAGTATTAAAAGCTCTTTCTTGCTCATCTCCCCATCGTTCATTGTTTGATAGGCCTTTCTTCGTTAAGTCTGTAAGAGGTGCCGCAATCTGAGCAAACGATGGTATAAATCACCTGTAATATCCGGCAAGTCCTAAGAACGCTCTAACTTGTCTTTTAGTCTTTGGCACTTCTGCTTCTTTGATTCTTGTCAGTTTTTCCCCTTCCATTTGAACTATGCCATTTCCAACCATATGTCCTGTAAAACCAATGTTGTTGTATCCTATATAACACTTCGATGGCTTTATGGTAAGCTCTGCTTCTGCCAATCTTTGGAGGAGCTCCCGCAGCATTGTCATATGTTCTGTCCAGGTTGTTGTATGCCCTATCATATCGTCAACATAGTTGTCAACAAAATCACACTCTGCCAATAACTTCCGCATCATCCTGTTGAATGTGGCTCCAGAGTTAACCATACCGAAAGGCATTTGCTTGAATTGATAACTCCCTCTATCTGTTGCAAATGCTGTAAATCTGCGGCAATTTTCAGCAACTGGGATTTGCCAATAACCTTTGCATAAGTCGATCTTGGTAAAATACTTAGCATCTTTCAGCTTTGCCATAATATCATCTACGCTTGCCATTGGTTCGGTGTCAAATTTGGTGACGGCATTCAGTCTTCTAAAATCAATACAAAATCGATTACTCCCATCTTTTTTCTTGACAATGACTATCGGTGCGTTGTATTCCGACACAGATGGTTCAATCACATCAGCCTTTATCATATCTTGTATTTCATTTTCAACAGCTTGTCTCTTGGCATATGGTATGGGGTACTGTTTCACTCTCACAGGCGTCTTGTCTGTTAATTCAACATGGTGCTCTATCAGTGGAGTTGTTCCTGGTCGCTCTGAAAACACTTCGCTAAATTCTTGAAGTATTGAAAGGACTTGCTTCCTCTGTTCAGGAGTAAGTCCCTCACTGATATTGACATCTTGGTATGTCTCTCCACTTGTGTAGTTAGGGAAGTCCAGGAGACTTTCGTCGTCCACCGCTCCATCTGAATTATCATCAACGTCTTCTATGATCGCTACACTTGCTGCAATCTTATCTTGGCGTTCTTCATATTTCTTCAGCAAATTAATGTGGAACGTCTTCAGCTTGTCTCCAATCTTGATTCTGTAATCAAATTTATTAATTACTTCGACAACTTGAAAAGGTCCTTTCCATTGAAGCATCATCTTATTATTGTCTGTGGGTAAAAGCAGTAAGACTTTATCTCCAACACGCAAAACTCTGTTTCGAGCTCTCTTGTCATAGTGATGCTTATAGGTATTCTTGGCTTTCATCAGGCTTTCTCTGGCTATCTTGCATGTCTCCTCCAAGCGCTGCTTCAGGTTGAGCACATATAGGTATGTATTCTGTATTTCAGGATCTTCTCCTTGAGTCCACATGTCCCTTAGAATTTGCATGGGCCCTTTTACTGTTCTTCCGTAGAGCAACTCAAACGGGGAAAATCCTGTACTCGCCTGTGGTACCTCTCTATATGCAAATAATACGGCTGGTAGGTATCTATCCCAGTCCTTGGGTCTTTCCTGGCACATCTTCCGCAGCATATTTTTTAGCACTCCATTCATCTGCTCACACAAGCCGTTGCACTTTGGATTGTAAGGTGTTCTGAAGAGTTGCTTCACAGATATGAGTCGGCATATCTCTTTCACGAGGTCTGCTGTAAATTGACTTCCTCTGTCACTTAGAACTTCTGAAGGAAATCCTACCCTTGAATATATTTCAAGCAGTGCTTCAGCAATGCTCTCGGTGTCTATTTTTGCCAATGGCACGGCTTCAGGGTAACGTGTGGCAAAATCCACCACCGTCAAGATATATCTGTTGCCCTTCTCCGACACTGGTATAATCGGTCCTATCAAATCTATTGCTACTCGATGAAATGGTTCCTCAATCACCGGCATGTCTCCTAGGGGGACCTTCTTCACTCGCCCTTTTGGGATGGTCTTTCTGCACACGTCACACGATCTGCAAAAACGTCCCACATCTCCCGTTATTCCTGGCCAATGGAAGCTTGTCAGGATTCTGTCCTCTGTCTTCTTAGATGACAAATGTCCACCATCAATGGATTCATGGGCAAGTTCCATCACTCTCTTCCTAAAGTCTGTCGGAACAACAATTTGCTTGGAGTCATCACCATTTTTCTGAAAGTAGGCTCTAAAAAGCACACCGTTTTCCACCACGTATTTAAACTTGGCCGCACCTTTGGTTTGCAGCTCTTCTGTCTTTTCTGCCAAGTCCCAAACTTTTTTCAATGAAGAGTCACCTTTCTGGGGTTCCTTCAATTTCTCTATGTCAACTTCAGTTTCGGAGGAAGGTTTTGGAACAGTCACAGCTTTGGTTGTACGGTCAGCTCTCTGATGCTGTGCTCTCGCCATGACTGCTGCAACAGCCGATGGTTCTTCTGTCTCCTTCCATTCAGGATCAGGCTTATCAAGTACTCCGGCAACGTTACCAATCACTAAATCGCATATTAATGACTTAAGCACCATTGCCTCTAACTACCCAACATAGTATGGCGTATCCACCCATATTTTCGCCAAAGGTACTACTTTGGCATCTCCATCAATTGTTATCATAATAATTTCTTTACCCGTGAGTTGTTCTTCTTTCACAAACTTCTTCTTTACCGCCGCTAACTCACATCCAGTATCTCTCAACACTCTAACTGCATCTGCTCCAACAAAGCCCTTCTTCAACTCCAGGTTTCTTTCTTCTTCCAATAAATCAATGGTACAAGCTCCCGCGGGGATCGGCACAGTCTCACCACTGGCTAACTTCAACTTTCCATCTTCAGTGTTCTTCTCTAGTGGATTAAGGTCTGCTTTGGCACATACGGCTGCTACCTTGCGGTCACTTCTTACACCTTCTGATTTTGTCTGCCGACAATCTTTTGCAATATGCCCCGTCTTGTTGCAAATAAAGCACACCTTCGGTGCTTGGCTTCTGTTGTTTTGTCGGCAGTCTCTGGCTAAATGGCCCGCCTTATTACAAATAAAGCATGTCTTCACTGGCGAATTTCTATTCTCTGTCACTCTGCTTGATGTCTCTGGAATGGATCTCTTGCCCATCTGCCCTTGTTTTGGAACTGGAGTACCTCTGGCAAAAACAGAAGACGCCCCTTTATGCGCTTCTATGTACTGTTCTGCAAGGCGTGTTAACTCTTCTATTGATGTCGGCACTCTTTCTTTCAGGAAGACAGCCAAATCTGTCGAACACCCCTCGATGAACTGTTCCTTGATTAAGAGCTCGCTTATTCCATGAAAGGTCTGCTCTACTCCAGCCATATCTGTCCACCTTGCGAAATATTGTCTCAACCTCTCAATGAACTGAAAAACAGACTCACCAGGTAGTGGTCTGCTCTGCCTGAACTTCACCCTGAAACCCTCTTCAGTCAACTGATATCGTTTTAAGATAGCCCTCTTCAAGGTGTCATACTCGTTGGCTTCTTTAATCGGCAGACTTGTAAATACTTCCAGACCTTGCCCTGATAGTAATGAGCTTAAGCTCATGGCCCAAGTGTCTCTCTCCCAGTCTTGGCTGATGGCAAGTCTCTCAAATCTCTCCAGAAATGAATCAATATTATCGTTTGCTTCATCGAACTTAGGTATTCTTGGTCTGAGGGACTTGCTTCCCTCACTGGTGGTTACTTTGCTGGATTTGATCCGCTCAATCTCGAGATCTTTTTCCTTTATCTGGAGCTCAAAGTTTATTTCCATCTGTCTTCTTTCTTCTTCACGCCTTCGGGCCCTTTCCTCTCTGGCTAGGCACTCTTCTTCCTTTTCTTGAAGAAACAATAATAAATCGCTGCCGGATAACCCTAGCTTTTCTCCTATTCTTAACCATTCGTCGTAAAACATATTGCTCAGTTTATCAAAATCTCTTTAAAGTGATCCCGGACGAGCCCCTAATTGTCAAGTTTTGGTTTCACTTATGAGATTTTTATCGATATTCTGAGCGATATTTGTGATTATAAGTTAAGAATCGCTGTACTCCTGGACTTGCTGCAGTATTGGACTTGCTGCACTATTGGACTTGCTGCACTATTGGACTTGCTGCACTATTGCACTAGCTACGCTTCTTAGACTTGCTGCGTTTTTTGGACTTGCTGCGCTTCTTGAACTTGCTGCGCTTCTTGGACTTGCTGCGCTTCTTGGACTTGCTGCGCTCCTTGGACTTGCTGCGCTTCTTGGACTTGCTGCGCTTCTTGGACTTGCTGCGCTTCTTGGACTTGCTGCGCTCCTTGGACTTGCTGCGCTTCTTGGACTTGCTGCGCTCCTTGGACTTGCTGCGCTTCTTAGACTTGCTGCGCTCCTTGGACTTGCTTCTGTTCTGGGAAGCGGACCGTTCTTAGACTTGCTTCTTTACTGGGAAGCGGACCGTTCTTAGACTTGCTTCTTTACTGGGAAGCGGACCGTTGCTAAGGCTCAACTCTTCGCTAGAAAGCCGACCGTTTTTTAGACTTGCTGCTTTAATTGGTTCCCTCACTGGACCTGCTCACCAACAAGGAGACTTGCTGAAAATTAAGCTTTCTGACAATATATATAAAGCTTCTTTCGAAATCATTTTTTTTTCTTCTTTTTTTTTTTATTTCCAATTTCATATAAATACACAACGCGCGAACCGGACAGAACGCCACAATTGTGACGTCACGTCAAAACAATAAATAATACAAAATGGCGGACATTTGTGTTTCTTTTCATAAATAAAATGGCTATTTTGACATTGAGACGACGTAAATTAACATGCCGACTGCTAGTCATTAAGACCTTTTGTACTACTACTTTCTTGTCGTATCATTTAATATGTTCTAATCATGTCTGCACGCTAGTTGTTTGAAATATTATGTATCCAAGGAAAGAACAGGGCATATTGAAAACTGTTGAATAAGAGAGGACATTGAAAGTGATAAATGGGGAGAGCGGTGTAGCATATCATAATTATAATATTTCAAAACTGTTAAAAATATATTTTAATACCATGACTATCTGTTTGTACTTCAAATGTGTTTTACATTGGTAATATAGAATGTCTTGGTTAGGAAATTTTTCATCTTAATTTAAGTTGATTTTATCGAAAGGTTATGCGTACATGCAACCCGTTGTGATAATACTTTTGTTTTTACAACGTGTTATTACCATTTACTTAACAAACATGCTTTGTATGATTTTGGTTTAGATAGGAACAATAAGTATAAATAGCAAGATATTTTAAGCATATAGCATATTATAATATAAATAAATGAAGTGCTGTTGTTTTATTATTACCATTACACAGGTAATGTAAAACATCGTTTTTATAATATTGCCTACTCGAAATCAGCATACGTATGTTACAACCAGTTTTGCAATATACTCTAAACATGATTTTGTTTATCTTTTTATGAAAGGATTGACATGCAGTGAGTTTATTTAGTAAATTTGTATATATGATTTAACAGTTATATCCATTTTTAACTCAATTATCTGTCATTACTAAATATATGATAATTTAATGGTGTTTTTTTTTCAATACATATTATCACATTTTCATGATCAACAATAACTGTAGTTTTGCAAAGATTTTGGCTGAAAACTATGTGATATACATATATATTATCTTGTAATATTGACAAGATTATTGCAAAACTTGTTGCGATGACATCCAGTTTTGCAATAAATTACTTTTATATGAGATTTGTATACAAACTTTATTCTAAACATTCTAATGTTCTTTTTATATAAAGATTGACATGCAGTCATTTATTCATTAAATTTTTGTATATGATTTTAGATCAATTTCCATTCTAAAATAAGCTATTCATGGTTACAAAATATATGATAATTGAATAGTTTTGATTAAATATCAGCACATTTATATTCAACAGTAATTGTAGTTTTGCAAACGTTTTGGCTTAAAACTCTGTGATATACATATTTGATCTTGTAACTATGTCGTTCAAATACTTTTGAGAGAATTAACAATATTATTGCAAAACTCGTGGTGATGACATGGTTTGTTGAATTTTTTGACAACCAGTTTTGCAGTAAAAACGAGTTTTGCAATAAATTATTCTTATATCAGATTTTTATGAAGATTAAACACTAAATATTATAATCCTTTATCTTTATATTTGAGAAGTGATATTTTGTTATTTTATATTTTATTTATTAAATCATTTTACATCATTTTCCAATTAAAAGGAAAAACAAAAATCATCTATTCAGATTTGCAAAATATATGATAATTGAATGTTTTTTTTAAATATCAGGACATTTGTGTTATCAACAATAATTCTAGTTTTGTAAACACTTTGGCTCAAAATGCTGTGATATACATATTTGATTTTGTAACAATGTCGAAATTTATATATATATATATCACAAAGTTTTGAGTCACAACTTTTACAAATCTTTGTAAACTTTGTGAACTGTTGTAGTTCATTGAATACTGCCCTACCTAGATAATCTTCGGCGATATATTTTATTGATCAAATATTAAAGATTACGCAATATATATGCTATAATCTGTTTTGCTATTTTATACTCATACATCAAACCAGCGCTATGGTTTATATTAAAATTAAGATGGTTTTCATCGAGTAAGCAATACTTTATCAAAATCATGCAAACGTAATAGGGTGATATTTTTTCAGAAAAGAGAAAATGAAAAACTAAATAAAAATGCACACCTCTTTTCATAGTTGTATTATAAGCTTTTACCAAATTAAGAGGTGAACTTAGTTTACAAAAGTTAACAGGTAGGCGTTATCCATCATTTTGTATTTTATTACCTAAGACAAAACCAAACAAAAACACATTGTTATCAATAAAATTTCAATTTGATAGTTAATTGTTAGACAAAAAAATGTTTTAACAAAGTTTATTTTAAAGCCAAGCAAACGAAAGTAAGATCATATCAAATAAGTATTGTTTGGAGTCAAACACATAATGCATTAAATTCAATTCCATTCAATACAGGTTGCTAACATGTAGTGCTTAAAACAAGAATGGCAATCGAGTGTGTAAATTTGCCCAAATTTGCTGTCTCATGCTTGAACTTTCCATAATAATATTATGTCTAATGTTTACATTCAAATATATGTTAGATTTTATATATTATTATTTTATGATTATATAATCTTATATACAGGAGACCATAAAACATAATGAAACAATCAAGTCGATTGTATAGTTTATTTCAAACAGTACATGGAAGATGCTTGTTAATCATATGTTATGATACAGTTGAAACACGGTAAGGATGTGTAATATAAAGAAATGAAAATATAACCATATTCCTTTAACAAACACGACGTCATGAGATAAAACCTTTGTTACGAACAACAAAAAATGTCAGAAAATTTGCTATCACAACAATGATAATAAGAAACTTCTTAATTGGTAGCTCTCGAGAAACTGTGTTTTGATTAACATCGTCTTGATCATAAATCTTTCGTCTTTCGCAATAACGTATCTAAGATATTTTTCTGGTGTGAAATGACTTTTGACATTCGTTTTATTAAATCTGTAATTTCTAGAACTGACTGAAAAACACTATCTTACTAGAACTCTAAATCACTTCGGAATTTTACAATAAATACTTTACTTTATACATTGCTATTTATAAACGTCAATTTTTTTCTGAAGAAGACTAAACGTCAAAAGCTTAAGAAAAGCGTTTGTTTTTATTGAACTGATTATATATTACTACTTTATATATGGTCATATATGTCATATTTAGAAGAACACAAACTTGTTTTGTATGTGTGCATTGTGTACAGTTGAACAGCTGAAGTTACCAGACAACTACGAGATGATTCCATAAGTATGGTGTGAAGTATAAAAATTACTGCAAATAATGTGATTGTTACAAGACAAAAGACTACACAATATTAAAATAATATTAATAATTACAATATTTGCAAGTAAAATAATCTCTTGACTCTTACATAATTGTATACTTGGAACTAGAATAATAACGTATAAAAAAGTTCTTTCATTTTCATTTATATATTTTGATGCAGGTAACACAGTTAAGGTCATGTGACGACACTAGCATCTCTGGTGGAAAAAGATATGAAGTATAATTTGTGCATTATTTCAAACCGGGGCAATAACATGTGTAGTGCAACCAACCTGCTTTGAGTTTGCTGGTTAGCTTTCTTATATTCCATGTCCCTGGTAAGATTTAATAACACAACGACAAGGAGCCTGTGGCTTAAAGTCAACAACCTCAACCAGTAAATTAGCCGAGCATGGAATCTTTAGTGCATAGTGCATTGCCTTTCAGCGTGACGAAACCATATTTAATGATGAAACTGGCTGCTCAGAGAAACTAACTCCAAACAAGAAGTTTGGAAAAAACGAATGTTTTCTCTGATATTGCGTAAAGAACTCGTGTCATTAAAACTATGCAAAGTTAATTACCAGGTTTTCATTACTACAAGTAGAATAAGATGACTAAAGAATGCAACATGTACCTAGCCTTTGCTTTGTAATATCTTTCCTCGTTGATCGATAATTTGTTCATAAATATACTTTCTGTTTCAATTGTGTAAACGACGGACCTTATGCCATTTTCTGTTCATTGCCCACGCTCTTTCCATTTTGTTTTATGTCTAGATAGATAATTTGCTACTGTCACATTACATTTGCCACTCAATATTTCATTATCCAGTGATTACACTGATATTGTCGGTAATTATATTTATCAAATGCTCATTCCTGTCAACAGCATGATGTTTGATTAGAATAAGGATTAAATAATTAATATTAACCCAATTCAAAGGCACCATAATGCATAACATAATCAGATTATGCACAATCACGAGGTGTTGTTGAACGCTTATCGCCTGTTATTATATATTGCTTAAACACAC